TAGAATATTCTAAAGGCCAATGAAAAAATGTTTGTTTCTCTAATGTTGGCCAACTGAAAAGAATGAACATGAAAAGAATGTGCATGTATAGCACTCAATACTTAGTCGGGGCTCCTTTTGCCTCAATAACTGCAGTAATGCGGCGTGGCATGGACTCGATCAGTCTGTGGCACTGCTCAGGTGTTATGAGAGCCCAGGTTGCTCTGATAGTCGTCTTCAGCTCCTCTGCATTGTTGGGTCTAGCGTATTGCATCCTCCGCTTCACAATACCCCATAGATTTTCTATGGGGTTAAGGTCAGGCGAGTTTGCTGGCCAATCAAGGACAGGGATACCATGGTCCTTGAACCAGGTGCTGGTGGTTTTGGCACTGTGTGCAGGTGCCAAGTCCTGTTGAAAGGTGAAGTCTGCATCCCCATAAAGTTGGTCAGCAGCAGGAATAATGAAGTGCTCTAAAACTTCCTGGTAGACGGCTGCATTGACCCTGGACCTCAGGAAACAGAGTGGGCCAACACCGGCAGATGACATGGCACCCCACGCCATCACTGACGGTGGAAACTTTACACTGGACCTCATGCAACGTGGATTCTGTGCTTCTCCGCTCTTCCTCCAGACTCTGGGTCCTTGATTTCCAAAGGAAATGCAGAACTTGCTTTCATCAGAAAACATAACTTTGGACCACTCAGCATCAGTCCAGTCCTTTTTGTCCTTGGCCCAGGCGAGACGCTTCTTGCGCTGTTTCATGTTCAAGAGTGGCTTGACACACGGAATGCGACACCTGAATCCCATGTCTTTCATGAGTCTCCTCGTGGTGGTTCTTGAAGCGCTGACTCCAGCTGCAGTCCACTCTTTGTGGATCTCCCCCACATTTTTGAATGGGTTTGTCGTCACAATTCTCTGCAGGGTGCGGTTATCCCTAGAGCTTGTACACTTTTTTCTACCACATTTTTTCCGTCCCTTCGCCTGTCTGTTAATGTGCTTGGACACAGAGCTCTGCGAACAGCCAGCTTCTTTAGCAATCACCTTTTGTGTCTTGCCCTCCTTGTGCAAGGTGTCAATGATTGTCTTTTGGACAGCTGTTAAGTCAGAAGTCTTCCCCATGATTGTGGTGCCTTCAAAACAAGACTGAGGGACCTTTTAAAGGCCTTTGCAGGTGTTTTGAGTAAATCAGCTGATTAGAGTGGCAGCAGGTGTCTTCTATATTCAGCCTTTTAAGAATATTCTAATTTTTTGAGATACCAAATTTGGAGTTTTCATTAGTTGTCACTTATGAATATCAAATTTAAATGTAATGAACATTGGAAATACATTGGTCTGTGTGCATTGCATGAATATAATGTACAAGTTTCACGTTTTGAATGGAATTACTGAAATATTTTCAACCTTTTGATGATATTCTAATTTACTGGCCAGCACCTGTATCTTCTATCTTAGTTTCACCTTTTAGGTTGAATTACTGATATTAATGTAGTTTTGCACCATTTTCTAATTTGAGTCACTTGCAGTTTGTTTCCCTAATGATGCCACAAGTGAAAATAGCCCTACTCAGGCACATTTTTGAGTGATTTTCTAACCATAACGGATCACGAAGCTTTCTAAATGAGGTTAACACACGGGGGAGGTTTAGGTGAAGATGGTGAACTCGTCTATAGTCCTGAGTGCCCTATGGGTTTGCTGGGAAAATATGGCATGAAGCAGGAAGTTGGACAACACACATTAGAAAGCAGTCCAAAACAGTCTTTACGTATTAATAAAGCGTTGTTCTTACCTCTGGTGGTCCTGAACTCGATTGACCAACTGGTTAATCTGCAGGAATGTATGTTTATGACAGAACAGGAAGTTTTAGTCATACATCTGAGAGGTAGACCCATCATATTTACTTTTGACCTCTAATAAACCCTTTCATGTGTGAGTTGAGACAGAAGATGAGTCTCTTTACCACGTTGACTGGCTGACTCACATCATATTTCTGTCTCTTGAGTTTCTCTCCGAGGTCATACTTCTCAGCCTCCAGCCCCTTCAGCCAATCCCACAGCTCCTTGGCCTTGTCCCTAAATACAAACATGACATTAATGAATTCAGTTCTGTACCATTAAACAAACCAGAGGCTCACAATAAACCAAAAGGACAGCTGAGTCGTACTTGAGTTTATCCTCACTAAGGTGATCAATGCTGAGAGGCTTCCTGCGGTCTGCCAGGACCTTCTTCTTCTTCTCTCTCTCCGTTTGCTTCTTGCCTCCTCTCCTATTGTCAGTCTGCATTCATCAAATAACCATCAGTCCTAGAAACGAGCTTTTCTTTAAATAAAATAAATACACTTATTGAACTACAAGCTACAGCAAGTCCAGGTTTTCAATGTGAAAGCTTGAAATATCTAAATTCAACCAAAAATCTAAAGTATTTTTATTCTCTTGACTTTAGTTCTTTGAGATAAATCTGCAGGTTTGAGTCATATCAGCTAAAAACCAGGATTGGTGCATCTCTAATCAATAACCAATCAGCGACTTAAGAATTAAAATCCTTTTCCAAATGTACTCGAGAGTAACACCGCTTCTTCAAATCTAATTAGTGTATTTTTGTATTTTTATTCCTAATTTAAACCTTCTGGAAAAAAATGATTTTTTCCTTTAGAATTTTCTTTAAACCAAATAACAAATTGAGTTTTCCATCAATTTTGTGGATGAATTGGATTTTGGGAGTGTGCACACTCAACTGAACTGAGTCAAATAAATAAGAACGTGGGTCAAACTGCTCTTTAGAGTTGTACTTCCAATGACATATGCATTTACTGGTGAGAGTTTTGAGCGCTGTTAGCTCAAACGGTTTAAGAATAATTCTGTTCAGTTTACTATACAACAACACGAGTCGTCTCGAGGCAATTCACAAAGTAAACATTCCAGTTGAGCCTACTTATCAGTGCACTGAGTTCAGTTCGTTATGCCAGTGACTTAAATATATAAAGATGGAAAACATTTAACTTTTATTTAACCAGATGAGTTGATTGAGAACTCTTTTTCATTTACAACAACGATCTGGCCAAGATGCAGCAGCAACAGACTCGTGGTTAGTTTTACATCAAAGAAAAACGGATCAGATAAAAACATCCTCCAGTGTTTGATCCACAGGTCTGTGCGTCTTCACGTATAATGGAATGAGTTCTCATTTATTTGTTGTATGTTTTAGAAAGCTAACATCTACTGAAGCCACGTTTCTTGTAAAGGCAAGAGGCCAATAAATCTGATTCAGATCTGAGGAAACCCAGCAGATTGCGTCAAGTCTTTACAGCAGTCCTCGTGCTGAACAAGCATGTAGCGACAGCGGAGAGGAGAACTCCTCTTCAACAGAAAGAAACCTCCAACAGAGCCTGGCTCAGTATGAACAGCCATCAGTCATGATCGACTGGGGGGGTTAAGAAGCCAGTTTTTCTTTAAGTCCCAATAGTCATCACTCACTGGTGAAATTCATCTCTGCGTTTAGGGAGCGGTGAGCTGCAGCTGTGGCTGTGTTCGGGAACTATTTGGTGGTTTACCCCCCCCCCCCCCCCCCCCCCAATCCAACCCCTTAAAGCTGAGTGACAAGCAGGGAGGCATTGGGTCCCGTTTCTAAAGTCTTTGGTATGACCCGACCGGGATTTGAACCTCGATATTCCAGTTCCGGGGTGAACACTAGGCCACCGGGCTGGTGTAAACAACTGAACGAGTAGCAGCACATTATATGTTAAAGAAAGCTAACATCTGGAGAGGGAGAATGTTCAGTGGTTGGCAGCAGTGTGTCAGCTTATGACCCTCTCTAGGATATAATCACGGCTCAGCAGAACACCAGACCTGGTGCAGCGGCTCTGGAGAGAAAAGCACTCAGAGAAAACACTACGTTAACAGCTGAAATAAGAAAAGTGTGGAGACCTTCTGTCCGGTGCCGTACTGCTGAGTCATGTTTGTCAGGACCTTCTTCTTCTTTGCGTCCTCATCCTGCTTCTTGCGCTGCTCCTCCTGCTCCTTCCGCTCCTTCTCCTCCTGCGTGCAGCACAGGTGGATTAATAACAGAGTTGAATATTAGCCAAGTCAAATGTTAACATGAAGAAATCCCACCAGCAGCCTGGTCTGCCTCTCCTTCTCTCTCTCAGCTCTGACCCTCTGCTGCTCGGCTCTCTCAGCACGACGCTTGTCCTAAAAACAGACTCGTTCAGCGTGCGTTTTCACACACAGCCACGGGACACTTCAGAGAACGAAACACTCACAATCCTGTTCACAAGGGAGATGAGCTCCTCCTCGTCTTTCTTCCTCTGGACAAAGTGAGCTTCAATCAGAGATTGCAGCTCAGCCAGATCCTTCTCCTGACGCTTCCTGTAGATGTCCTGACAGCAGAGAAGTGGGTCAGAGTCACCTGGTGTTGACAGTTTGGATTAAAGGTCTCAAGCTGATTGAGATACAAGGAGACTTAACTCACATCAAAGTCCACCTTTTCTCCTTCAGGCATCTTTGGGGCTGAAATATTTGCCATGAACCTGCAGAGTGATGATCACGTGTGATTTAGTTAGGTCCTTTTCGTGAGCGGTGAACTAACCACGTATGAGGAGGAGCTGAACACTTACTTGGGTTTGGGCTTGGATTCATCTGGAGACGGGAGGGAAAAAAAAACATTTTTATTCCTTCATCCTATCAAACATCTGATGAGTTGACAGGAACAATACCTGTACATACACCTGGAAACTTTTAGATCGTTACAATAACCCAGCTGTTCTGTGCTAGATGGAAACTAAAACCCTATTGTGACAGCTTGATTGTGTACTTCTGTTCGTGTGCCTGACCACAGACCTAAAGCAGCAGTAAAGGTGTCTATGGTTACACTAAAGTGTTCCAGAACATTCAGATCTTCTACAGACTCTGAAATGATCCCTGCGGGTGTTAAAGACCTGCCTTTGCATGCAGGTATTTAGCCGTAGCAGAAAACCGTTCAAGGCTGCATGTGGAGCAGCTGGTTGCAGCATAAAGGTCGCTGGTTCAAAACCCTTCTGTGGCCTTTCTGCATGGGGTTTGTAGGTTCTCCACATGCATTCTCTGGTAATGCAACAACATGCATGTTCAGGCCGATACTGTAGATGGTTCCATCACATTACAAGACTCTGTGATGGGCTGGAGACCTATCCAGACTAACCCCGGCCTCTCACCCAATGACTGCTCTAAATTTGAGCAACAACGTACTCATGGTAGGCAAAGAAGATCATATTTTAAAACCAAATATCTGTAAAGCAAAGACATCTTTCCTGAAGACTGCTAGAACAGTTGATGGTGGCTGCTGGATGGAGAGTGATTGTTGGCACTGGAGCAGTCCGTCATGATCAGGCAGTTGTTGCCTTCAGCTGAAATGCTAAATGTTTTAGCCGGCTGGTCTGTCAAAATACCCCAAGAGCCACTTTACAGATTTAGAGTGAACTACTGGCTGCACATCAGCAACAACTCTGTCGTTTTACCAGATCCTGGGCTACAGCTTCTCAGACAACAGATCACACAAGATTCATACAATGTTAATATTAAGATTTGACCAAAGAAACTATAACTCCATCACGTCCCAACACAAGTATTGGAACGTTTACTTTGTGAAGTGCCTTGCGATGACTTGTTGTGATTTGGCGCTTCATAAATAAACTTGAATTGAAAAGATCTCAGTTCAAAACGGGCTGGTGGAGGGTCTGCATCAGCTGGCAAGTTTATGTTAAAAGAATATTTATAGTTTTCTTACCTTCTCCCTCTCTTCAAATGGACATGAGCACAAATAAATGACAAAGAAATGCACAATTAGATTTCCACAAATTAATCAGAAAACAACCTTTTAACTAAGCCAAACTGATAACTTACAGAACTTCCTCCTCCGGTACTTCTTCTGTGTCCGACATATTGCTCAGGGTGAGCTCTGTAAACATGGATCCCCATCATCAGACTATATTTACACTCAGAAATGTTTCTGATCATTAAACCAGCACAGCAGAGATGGCACCAGTCCACACAGAATAAAACAAGGGTCCGAGCTGGACCGGACCCAGCTGCTCAAGAGCATGGTGAGACGTGATCGTGTCTCTGGGACGCGTTCAAGGAGCTCATCGAGATGCAACAAAAGAGAAGTAAATGTTCATTTTCCAGTGATGTAAAAATGTGAACCCACAGCTTTTAAAGCACCGCAGTTAGCTCATTTCTCCTATGAATTCACATTTATTTAGTGTTTTATGGGGATTTTTCTACCTTATTTAAAAAGAAATAAACAAAAGAAGTTGAAACTCTGAGAAGCAAAGAGCAGAACACTGTCAGACCGAGATTTACCTTCAGAAAACTTGATCAAAATACCAAAAACAGGATTATTTTTATACGAAATAGCAGTTTTTTCCTAGAAGACAAATAACATTTTAACAACTAAAAAAGCTTGTGTGATGATGATGTTGATGTACTTACCTGTTACCCAGGAGCTCTGAGATGAGTTTCAGATTTTTGCTCTCTGAGCATCAAAGAGACAAAGTCCCACCCTTCCTACTCATGTGACTGCAGAGACCTATTGCTGACCAGTCTATTGTTGGGAAGCTGGACAGCACACACACACACACACACACACACACACACACACACACACACACACACACACACACACACACACACACACACACACACACACACACACATTCTGCAGATACATTCCCACCCTGCTAAAAGGTTTTCACAAGATGACCGATGTCGCCTTGCAGATGTAAAAATAAAAGAAATCCAACAAATCTCTAACTTCTCTTTCATGGTTTTTATTGTTATTGCTGAAGCCAGTAAAATCAAACAACTCAAAGCATTGAAGATAACTCGGTATATTCTGGCAAAACTCTACTAACGTGCATTGATGACATTACATTTTTTATCATGCTTGAATAAAAGTTTTAGAAAATCAGAGGAATTTTTATTCTGGTCAAGGATAAAACCAGTTTCTGTTTGTGAATTCCAGCGAGAGTCAGTGAGTTGGTGTTACAGCAGATACTCAAATAAACCAAAAACATGTTGGAATTTATATTGTTTTTAAAATACACATTTTTCGTTGAACTTTAAGCCAAATTTAGAAAAGCAGCACAGTTTGGTCCTCGGTCTGTAGTCTGGTGAAGAACAAGACTGTCTGCTCTTGGTTTGTATGCATTTAAAACTCAGTTATCCACCATGTTTGCAGATAATAATCAGCCATGTTCAGATAGGTAAAGGTTTCCTGCAAACATGAGGCTGTTCTGTGTTTTAGCTCAATGTTGGTGTAGAGTGTGATGTTTCATCTGAGCTGCTTTCAGAACCACCAGACACATCCGAGCATCATGGAAACATGTCACAGTTGTAGCATGTTCATAAACCAAAGCAACACGCTCACGTTTCAGAAAAAATAGGATTGTTTCAAAAATAAAAGCCTGCTGAGCATTAATTTGTACAACCTGCATGAACATCCATCCATCAAAGGACCTGCTCAAAAACAGGATGTTCAGTCTCAAGCGGATTATCCTCCTAAATTATAAATTATTAAAATAAATGTGAACCAGACTGAACATTCAGCAGCTCATGAAACTGATCACACACGTGGTAGAAACTACTCAATGAACCCTAAGAGTGTTAAAAAAGTGCTTATTAAAGGATTGTTTAAAGGAAGAAAAACTAAAATCCAACCAAAAGAGCATGACCTTTACTCTTGTGACTGATGGTTTAGTTGTTTATAGACTTTTAGTGAAAAACCAGAATGACATATGTACAAACCTACCACTGAGCAGTCAGGTGACTGACGCGTGGAAATAAAGCTGAAGGGTCAACGTAGTTTTAAGGAAAATAACATCAAGTCTAAGTTTCAATGATTTGGGGCAACGGCGGGACAGGGGTTAAGTGCTCGCCCCGTAAAACAAAAGGTTGCAGGTTCGAGCCCCGCTCAGTCTGTCGCTGTCGTTGTGTCCTTGGGCAAGACACTTAACCCACCTTGCCTGCTGGTGGTGTTCAGAGGGATCGGTGGTGCCTGTATACGGCGGACTTGCCTCTGTCGGTGAGCCCCAGGGCAGCTGTGGCTACAATGTAGCTCATCACCACCAGGGTGAGAATGTGTGTGTGAATGGGTGAATGACTGATTGTGTTGTAAAGCACCTTGGGGGGTTCCAGGACTCTAGAAGGCGCTATATCAAATACAGGCCATTTACCATTTACCATTCTGTCATTTCGACTTTATATTCAGAAAACACGGATAAGTTGATTTTTTTGTCTTTAGATCTCCAGAACAGTAACATATGTTTCTCTGTGCAAACAAACAATAAAGTTTCAAAAAGTAAAAAAATCAAAAAAAACATTAAATAGCTTTAATTGCTGATATCAGAGACATCAAAATCTGGTGTGGTCAAACAGCCGAGACACTCGTTTTCAAGCTTTCTGTGAATGTGTGTGGAAAACCTGCAGGGACAGAGTTTCTGTCTGGATACGACGAGTTAAATTCGTAACTAAGTCCTTCCTACGATGACAAATCTCTCCAAGGAGTTGAGAAAAGTAGCAGGGACTGTCGTCTCCATCCCCATCAGTGGGATCCACACGCGAAGCGCAGCAGTAATGAAAGAGCAAAGCTGCAGGAGATAGTCGCCGGTTGGCTCATAACCTGCAGGAAGAGACATAAAACATTTTTATGCTTTAAAACTGTAGCAACGTCTGCAGTAATCTAAGCTAACTCACAATTTGCATTATAAGAGTTCTTCTGTAGTTTTCTGTCGTGAGAGCTCCATGGAGGCTCATTCATTTGTGCTCTTATTAATGCATGCTAACTCTCATACAGTTGCAATGATGTGGAACTTTAAAGATCTGACGTTAAACTGAAGACTCATACGCAAGCTAGCTGTCATAAAGAACTTAAAATCCTTTAAAGCCTCAATAAAGAACTTTAAATCATTAGACATCTCCATTGAAGCAAGCAAATGCACGGATTAGGGCTGGGCAATCATTCAATAAAGATTCATATCCATCGAAAGATGCGTGGTTCAATAGGAAAAAAAAAGGATGAATAAAAGTTTCCTTTCTCCATCACTGCCTATCGTGTAGTTACATACTACAGTCATTACTGCCCAACCAATCAAAAACACAGACCCAAGCGCGCTCCGCCACCAAGCCCTCCCCTTTCAAATCTAACCAGACAGCAATGAGACTTCAACAGCATGTTGCAGCAAGGAGCGGTGGAAGAAATTGTCCCAAAGAGGTTACAGTAGCTCACCAGTGTGGCAATATTTTCATTCTTACAAATCTGACAAAAAACAAACAACGGTTAGCTAAATTTGCTGAGAATCGATAAAAACCAAGTCTGGTAATGCAACCAACTTGTTTTTATCATGAATTAATGACATCAAAGTAGTGACGGGAATGACGAGCTCCCAGTGACGAGCCGGCTCCCGTCGTTCACTTCATAAGAGTCGGCTCTTAGAGCCGGTTCGTTTGCGACCAGCACATCACTACGTCAAATGGCCAGGGCTGCACTTGAAATGTATTTTCTACATTTTTCATTGAATTTTTAATGATTGTTGATATCGATCAATAAGATTGTATTTCTATATCACCCAGCCCTAGCACAGAGATGTGAGTTCAGCTGCATTCATTTAAAGCTTTTAAAATGCCGCCAGGTCTCCATTACTGCAAGCTTCCTCACACATTTGTAAACTTGCATTGCTTAGTAAATTTAAAGCTTTTAACTGTGGTGAGTTCCTGATTAAAGCAACCGGACTCACAAATGTATTAGAACAGTCTCACTAATGTAATAAACACTTTATATTGCGGTTGATGCCTTCGTCAATGCAACCAATTTGTCAGACGACTTACATTAATGGAAACTTTAAACATATGTTTCAATTAGGAAAACTCGTTGAGTAAGAAAATAACAACTTTAAACATCAATCAACTTTTTTTATTTACCTATTTATTTGCATTTCTGTTCGTGAGCTTCATTTCCATTTTTAAATACAACCTGTGAGCGACAGCGAAACCTCGCTTTTCTGCTTGAACATTAAGAGCTTGGTGTTGAAATGAAAAATGCTTTTTACGATTTTGTTTATATTCAAATGCTTCATGTGGAGCAGAGGCCCAGTTCAAGCCTTAATCATTAAGGAGGGAATAAGCCTAGTGATGGACCCTGGTGTGCTGCTCTAAAGTTTAGTAATCCTCCCTTGTGCTCAGCTTTAATGTGAAAATCAAGCAGCTGCTCTGCGGTATGCCTGACAGCTCGCAGACGCCCGGCGTGGTGTCGGGCCGCCCAGGTGGCACTCTGTGGGCAGTGAGCTGCAGAAACACGACAGCCATCCGGAGTCTGGAGCTCTTTTTATACTGGGGATCAAGGTCAGGGTGAATGTTTTTAAATATAGACCTTGGTGCCACCGAGCTGAGCCAATGCCCTAAACGTCTCCTGCAGCAGATTTGAGTTTCAGGGAGTGAATGCTCTGGAACAACGTAGAGTAGGTGGGCTGTAAATCAGTCAAAGGCTGAAACTAACTCATCCTGATCAAGGTGAACCCTGGTTTAGCATGAATGATATCACATGATCTCAATACGCCTCACCCAAGCTCATTTAAACCTAACTTTGTTGTTTTTGTCTCACACTAATTAATGATGCAAAAGGCTAATTAACTATGTTGAAATGTCCTTTAGAGGAGCTGACTGACACAAGTTGTCACCATTTAACCTGACCCACTATGCAAAGACCTAGTTTGGACGTCCTACAGACGCGGTGTGGACAACAGACTCAATATAGGCATGATCTGCACGTCCATGCGACGTCGACTGTTTGCCAGGGGATCTGAAATGTAGGTGTAAGCTAACCAGCAGCTAATTAAAGCTTCAGATGTTAATTCAGAGGTTATTACTCAATAAAACCTTGTTGTTAGCTCCAAAAGGTCACGTCTGTGTTTATATTATGCAGCTGGTTAATAAAAGTTGTAAAAATATTTAAATTTTGGAAATATATACAGCCTGTAGGTCAGATGGGAAGAAAATATTCAAGTGTAGAACTTCATAAGTTCCCATGGATATAGGTTAAAATATTCAGATGTGTTTCGTAACTCACCGTTTGTGACATCAAGTAAACTTTTTGCCACCAACTGGCACCTGAAAACGAGAGTAAAACAACATAAATTAGGCACAAAAAAGGAGGATCATTCATTCACTTCTGTTTTGCTTCAATAAATATGGATCCTGATGCAAGAATTGATAAGAACAAGCTTGACTTTTTGCCTTGAACACATCATATGGCTGATATTCTAAAATCATGATGTCCTAAGCGAACATCTGGAAAACAGATGCAAACTAAGTCAGTTTGATTGAATATGTCCTTGTAACAATACATCACTGTAAAAAACTGTTTCTTCTTCAATGGAGGAAGTTTACGTGGAAAATGAATTTTTAGGGTTTAGCGGAGTTGAGCAGCATAAAGTCTTTCAGTTTTGGCAGGAGTTTTAAAACGGTCTCAACCCACAACTTTTAAAAATGCCCCGATAGCTCCTCAGCATAGAAATGGCATCAGTATAAAACAAACAAGCAGACATGATTTAAATGTGTGTTTCTAAATGAGTGCGTGTTTCACCTTGGATGGCGTAGAGCTCCTTTTGGGTTCCCACATACCACGTTTACTCCCCACGTCCACAGGTTTCACCTCCTGTCACACAACAGAGGAGTCACTAACCTGGAGGACAGCTGATGGACATCACGGTGCACATGCAGATGAATAGCTGTTAAAATGTTCCCTTAACACAAAGTTAAGAACGTGTGTTTTATTGAAGCCATGCTTTTATACTTATTTGGTTTCTTTGTGCGTGTTGAGCCATGATACTTTAAGTATGAGGAAAAACCAACAGGGAGTGTTTGAGAGGACAGCTGAGAGAGCAGCTAAAGGAAAACATTAAGATGGAAATGAGATATATATATGTGAACATCAGTAAATAAGTCTGGAATCTAACAGCCAGGAGAGCCAACAGCTAGAACCTGCTGGGATGTTTGACTCCAGAGACATTTTGTCCTTGAAATTCACTTTAGAAAGATGAGAGCTGATGTTCAGAAAAGCTGCTGTAAGTGGATCTGTTTTATGTCTCAGAGGACCTGTTGGGATCAACAGCTGCTCTCTTTGACAAAATGACACAGAGTCAACCGAGTCCACAAGTTACACACCACCCTATCGACTCAGTTTCCTGTGTGGAAAAATAAAACCAGTCTGGGATTTTATGTTGACTATTTAGTGACAGAAAGCTACAGAACAGTCGTGTGTGTGTGTGTGTGCATGTATGTGTGTGTGTGTGCGTGTGTGTGTGCGTGTGTGTGTGTGTGTGTGCGTGTGTGTGTGTGTGTGTGTGTGTGCATGTGTGTGTGTGTGTGTGCGTGTGTGTGTGCATGTGTGTGTGTGTGTGTGTGTGCGTGCGTGCGTGTGTGTGTGTGTGCGTGTGCGTGTGTGTGCATGTGTGTGTGCGCGCAGGTCTGCGCGACCATGCGTGACTGTGTGTGTG